GTGGTAACACCAAATATTGGCAAAGGGAGAGGGGACAGGAGCTGCCCCGACAAGAAGCCCTATCCCTCCTCCAAAAAGATACATTGGCTTTGGAAAAGGTTAGAAAAGGGCAACAAAAGTGGTTCGGGATTTGGAACGGGTCCCATATGAAGAGAGATTAAAAAGAAGGGGATTTTTCAGCTTGGAAAAGAGGAGACTAAGGGGGGATAGGAGGGAGGTCTATAAAATCATGACTGGTGTGGAGAAAGCGAATAAGGAAAAGTTATGTACTTATTCCCCCACCATATAAGAACTAGGGGTCACCTGATTCCATCAATGCAGGAAGCGTCTATGCTATAGTGCTGCAGCTGTGTCTCAGACCTGAGAGGTGAAGTGGCTTGACTGAGGCCACACAGTAAGTCAGTGGCAGAGCAGGAACAACAACTCAAGTTCCCAACTCCCAATTCCATCCCTCACCCAGTGAACCTCCCCTACTGTTGCTCTCCATAGCAATTTCCTCAGTTTCAGAGCAGCATCCTTTCTGGTGATGGTGTAAGCCAGTGTCTGGGGGACACAGGCGCGCACTGTCTGCATTTGGAAGGATGCACTAGCACCCTAGGGTCCTGAGACCAATGACTAGGCTCTTGGGTGTTACAGCAGTACAGACTCAATAATGGTCAATATCAGTGCCTCATTGTGGCCTCCTCTGAGGGAGCAACCCAACATGCTCCAGTGTTTCTGCAAATTCACCTTTCTAGCTCGGCACCAGTACAACAGAAGAGCAGCCAGACTGGGTCAAAACAAAGGTCCATCTAGCTCAGTATCCTGATGCCCCAGAGGGAGGGATCACAACAGGGAATCCTCACGTGATGCCTCCCATGTCCAGACAGAGGCTAGGGACACCATTCTGGCTAGTAGCCATCGATGGACCTAATCTCTAGGAATCTATCTAGCTCTTTTTTGAACCCTGTTGAAGTTCTAGCCTTCACCACATCCTCTGGCAAGGAGTTCCACAGATTGACAGTGCGCTGAGTGAAGAAAAACTCCCTTTTGTTTGTTTTAAACCTGCTGTCTATTCATTTCATTTGGTGACCCCTAGTTCTTATAGGCTACGTCTAGACTGGCATGATTTTCCGGAAATGCTTTTAACGGAAAAGTTTTCTGTTAAAAGCATTTTTGGAAAAGAGCATCTAGATTGGCACGGACGCTTTTCCACAAAAGCACTTTTTGCAGAAAAGCGTCCGTGGCCAATCTAGACGCGCTTTTCTGCAAAAAAGCCCCCATGGCCATTTTCGTGATCGGGGCTTTTTTGTGGAAAACAAATCTGAGCTGTCTACACTGGCCCTTTTCTGCAAAAGCTTTTGCGCAAAAGGACTTTTGCCCGAACGGGAGCAGCATAGTATTTCCGCAAGAAGCACTGATTTCAGACAGTAGGAAGCCAGTGCTTTTGCGGAAATTCAAGCGGCCAGTGGAGACAGCTGGCAAGTTTTTCTGGAAAAGCGGCTGATTTTCCGGAAAAACTGGCCAGTC